TCCGGTCGCCACCTGAAAACCCCTCTGAAGGATTCCAGCCAGAATAAACCCCGCCCCGGTAGCAGCTGCCCCGCCCCCAACCACGCCCCCCACCCCCAGGAATGCCGCTTCGCGGCATCTAGAGAGCAAGCTCTGCCGGGGGGGCGGCACTGAGGTCTGCCTGCTGCCAAGCCCCGCCCCTTTCGGGGTCCTCGCGAGCGGCTGTTGGTGCTCGTCGCTCGCGCTCTCGTGGCTGCTGCTGCGCTGCTAGCAGGACGAGCAAGATGGAGGCGGTGGGCGCCTGAGAGCGGGTCTCCCCGACTGCTGCCCGCCATGGCGGACGATGCCGAGCTGGAAAGGTGAGGTTGGCGGGCGGCGGGAAGACGGAAGGCGGAATGGTAGAGCCTTCCGTTGAGCGGGCGGGCGGGCGGACGGCCTCCCTGCCATGCCCACCGTGTGCGTGCCAAGCAGAGGGCGAGAGGTGGCACCCTTCTCAAACCTGGTGCCGGCCAGATGACTGGGAGGACAACATCCATCATCCCCAGCCAGGCTAAAGGATGATAGGAGTTGTACCCCGACTTCACAGGCACCAAATTAGCCCTAGAGCGGTGGTAGGCTGCGTTTGATTACTTAGTAAGTGATCCTGCCTCACGACTAACCCTCTAGTCTGGCCTGGTCGGAGACTCCTCAGAAATAAGGCTACAGATCATCAGGAGGTTGCAGCCTAGGTCAGGTTTCGGCCCAGGACTTGTCCTGGAGCCCTTGAGGAGCTTGCCGGGCCTTAACTCTGGGATCAGACCCCCAGTGGCCTCTCTTGTCTGTCCGTAATGAAACATTGGGTCCAAAGTGGGAATGGAAAACTAAAGGGATCCTTTGTTTAAATTAATATTCCTAAAATAAGGGGGATGATGCCACTTTCTTTCTAACTGCAGGGTTCAAACAGGAGGGGTCCTGCATATTGTGGACAGATTCTGTAGATTAGATGGCTTCAGTTTCCAGTGAAGCATACAGAGATACTGCAGCATGTAAAATATTTTTTCTCTCCATAAACTGAATTATCCCAGTTCTACCCCACTAGCTATGCTGCAAATGTAGGGATGTTTATAGGAAAGATGTGGAGAGTGTAGCGCTTTGGAATTGGGACAGCTATTTAATATAATGTGCTTACTCAGAAATGAATTCACTGGGTTGTTTAATGAATAGGATTGCAGGTGTAGAACAAAATGCACTTGTTTGAGTTTGGTGAGGACCACCATTAGTGCATGTGTGTTTATAAAACAAGCCTTTTAATGCAGTGTCCACTGGATATGCTGGACCGGATTGTTAAGATGCCCAGCCCCTATGGTCATTTGTGTTAGGCATGCCAGAAGTTGGCTTCCAGTCTAGAGCTCCAGAATTCTGAATTCATAAAACACCTAAGAAGAGCTTTCCTAGTTCAGGCCAAAGCCTGTCTTATTCCAATATGAATCATCTGCTTTCTTGTCTCAGTGGTGAGGAATTGGTAGCTGCTTGCTCACCCCAGTAGTGAGGAACTAATGGATCCTCCATACTACTGTTATATGAAAATTATACATTTTAACATTTTTTAATGAAAGGCTTTTAAGTCTTATTAATTTAGACATCCAAGTTCCTCATGATCAAGGGAGATCTACAGCTGGCAGTCTTGAAAGCCAAAGAGGAAACAGGGAAGGGAAGGGGTGAGATGATCAGGATAGAATAAATAATCTCTGTTTTATCCACATTCAGTTTAAAATGATGGGAGCATATCCAATCAGAAATTCTACCTAGACAGTTAAAAGAGTTTCCACATTGTATCATCTAGAGCAGAGGCAGACAAATTAGTTTAAACATTGTTAGAGTAGATGTGGTTATTGAACTGGGAAGAAAAAAAAATCAAAAGGCTTTGTGGAAGTGTATATAAAGAAAATAATAAAGGATTTAACAGTGAGTCCTGAGGAACGCACATGGGTAATACAAAAGATTGAGAAATGGAACCATTCCATGAAACTGAAAATGTCCAGTGAGATAGATAAATTGGAAATCACTGAAATGCTGTAGTACTAGCAATGCCACTGGAGGTTAATCCTGACAATAATAATTGATGGTCCAAAATGTCAAATGCAGCAGATATTGATAGAACCAATTCTAGCAATAGATGGTTTGCTTGGTCTCCAAGAAGCCATTAATGATAGAAGCATATAAAGTATCCTACATGAAAATCTGATTGTAACATATTCATATGTTTATTAGCAGAAAGATTAAGAGAATCCTGAAAGAGAATTATTGTCTCAAGTACCTTAGATAAAATGAGATAAGAGAAAATGAGCAGAAATTACAGCAAGCAGAAAGAACCAGGAAATATGTTTTTAATAACATGGGAGGGAAAACAGTTTACCAATCTAATAAGAAAAGATAGGAAAGAAGGGAGGAGAGATGAATAAAGGAAAGAGGGAAAAGGATTAGAAAAACTCTAGTCATCTTCCTGAAACAGCTGAACAGAGTTTTTCTGGAGAGAATTTGGAGGCTGACAAAGATGCCTTTGTATCTTTATTGTAAAGATTGTATTGTATATTTTTTATTTTTATTGTTATTTATTTTGTCATATATTGTGAGCCTCCAAGAGTCTACTTATTATTGCAATGGATTATAAATGTGATTGATTGATTGATTGATTAATTAAGAACCCTCAGTATTAAGGGCCTATTTTTTCTACTAGTGGTGCTACAGGTCCAACACTGTTCAAGTTGCTGAATTGTAAGCTATTATCAACACTTCTGGTGCCAAAGAAGTTTTGGACTCACAAGGAATAAACAAAATCAAATTTTGTCAAAAGGAAAAGCAAATCTATCACGTAAAAAAGTTTGTAGTTTTAAATAGGAACATTCAAATAGTATTGGAGGAGATGTAATAGTATTTGTAACTGACAGAGAGTTACAAATAAATTAAACAAGAAAAGTTCCAAAAGAACATACAAGACCACAAGATGGCATTTGCCATAGAGAGACAAGAGTTCCAAATTAATATTGCCATCCCAGGCAATTGTAAAGAAAATTTGTCTCTTCTTCTACATACTTGTGGTGTGCTTCAGAGATGACAATCCCATTCTTTAAACTGATATAGAAACAGAAAAAAGGAGACATACTACCACAGAAAACAGATCTAGCATAGATTTTCTGTATAGTAGTATTTACCTATTGCTACAGAAGTAGCACTTTAAACAAAAATCCTGCATTTCATTTAACCTGATCTTCCTTTTTTTCTTCAAATTCTATATGCCATGGTTGTCAGTAGATGGGTTTGTAAATATTGACCTCCACTGCCTATCATGGCTTTGATCAATTGAACATATAACACACATAAAACACAACCTTCACATTCCATATTGCACAACCCCTGATGCTGCTTTAATACTGCACTATACAGTAGAGTTCAGTATAATTACAGCTCTATACTGAACTCTACCGTATAGTGCAGTATTAATGCAGCATCAGGGGTTGTGCAATATGGAATGTGAAGGCTGTGTTTTATGTGTGTTAGGTGTTTTAGGTGTTCTATGGTTTTTATATTTTTAAAGCTGCACTGGGGTGGCATTTAATTTCGTTGTAATTTGCCATAGAGAGACAAGAGTTCCAAATTAATATTGCCATCCCAACAACGAAATTAAATGCCACCCCAGTGCAGCTTTAAAAATATAAAAACCATAGAACACCTAAAACACCTAACACACATAAAACACAGCCTTCACATAGTGCAGTATTAAAGCAGCATCAGGGGTTGTGCAATATGGAATGTGAAGGCTGTGTTTTATGTGTGTTAGGTGTTTTAGGTGTTCTATGGTTTTTATATTTTTAAAGCTGCACTGGGGTGGCATTTAATTTCGTTGTACGAGTAGTACAATGACAATAAAGATTACTTTGACTTTGACTTTTTAGTAAAAGAAAAGGGGACTAGGTTACTTCCTTTAGTTGTACTTATGTCGCATGTAGTATTCTCTGCTAAGGATGCAGTACCAATCAAGGTTGGCACACCTTGACTTGTGTGCCACAAGTATAGCTAAAGCCTGGTTTTATTTAAAGCTCACACTATTTATGCAAGCTAGAGACCACTGTGCAAGCCAACATGCTGTTTCCTGCATTCCACCAACAAGCAGTTATATGTGTTGGACTGATGCACTTAAGATACAGTACTGGCAAGGAGTATATCCCCAGTTTGATCCATTTACAGCTAGAGAACAGTTGAGTAGGGAGGAAAGAAGGAAGGAGCTAAATGTAAATATCGTCTGACATGCTTTTTTTTATCAACAAATCTCCAATTCTATTTTGGAGACTGCTTTAGCTCTTAAAAAGGGCATGACAGGTACATATACAAATAGAATGCACACTATCATAGTTTTCTTATAAAATGTCTTTGTAGCATTGAAGCGTGCATGGAGTTGTTTGGTTTTTTTTTAAATTGACATCAGAAGTTACAACCTTTTTTTAAAGGCCTTTTTGTTCCTGTGAAATTTGTGGAAGGCTGAACAAATAGGGATGGTGGGTAATGGGCAGGGTAGTGTTTGATGGGGTCAGGGCACACCTCTTTATTCAGCCTCTTCTTCATCCCTAAATCAAATAAAAACTTATTGTAGTTGACCAGGAATGCCTCACCCCTAACATTAAGATAACTAGAGAAGCAGTGAGATTAAAGCCTCCCCCAGCACCTAGAGCAATCTGGATTAAAATAAGTTTTCCACAATTATTAACATTAAGATCAGGATTAGAAAGAGGGAGAGAAAGATTCAGATGATAGGACAGCAGGAAAAGTAAAGAGTGTACAATGACTCTACCTTCCATGTTACATATTCTATCAATGCCTAGATTGCTGTGGGGAACCTAGGTATATTCTTATAAATAAAAATTATCCTAGAGATAAGGATTCCAACTTCCAACTTACTTAAAAAAAAATAGACTTTATAAAAAGTCAGGCACTTTAAGGAGCTGTACTTGGGTAATGTGGGGGTACCTTATCCCCAGTCTAGACAGTTACATTAAGTATAGCATATGTCATTAAACTGGGATAAAAATACATGCTATAATTTTAATAGATTAATCCACACAAGAACCCAGTGTTGAGCAAATTATTCATTGATCACACTAGATTGCCATTATCAATCTCTGTATTAGTTTCTATGTGCCTATATGAAATTTTAACCAATATAACTAAAATTAAAACAACTTTTCCCCATTTACAGTGTATGCCTTTGTCCTGAACAGTTCTACGTATCAAGTGGGGGAAGAGTGGAGTAGGGGTATCTCAAATGTGATAAAAAAGAGAAATTCATTTCTGAGCATTCATTTTCGTCATTTTTCCCACCACATTTAAGCTATTCTTTTATCTTTGCATTCATTCTTTAAATAAATATGTCTAGGTTGAATAGGAACCGGATAGCATATAATTCTGGAATGTTTCAATTTTAGCATAATATCTGATGAAAATCTAATTAGAATGGCATCAGTATTTCATTGGTGCCAGAATGCTGTCCTTATGGATTCCTTTAGTCATTCTTTCAATGTGCTTTCATTTGTTTATTATATTTATATCCTGCCTTTAAAACTTAAGGTGGTATATATAATGGCACCACCTTATATTTTCCCCACAAAAACTCTGTGGGAGTAGGTTGGCCTGAGAGAGAATGATTGGCCCAAAGTTACCCAGCTGGCTTCTAGGCCTAAGGGAGGATTAGAATTCACAGTCTCCCTGTTTCAAGTCTAGCACCTTAACCTTACATCTAACTGGCTCTCTAGACAATGTGAACAAATACCTTGAGTGTCTGCCCAATGACTCATGGGATTTAGAAGATGAAAGATTTAAATTATTATTTGCAAGTACTTAATTGTCCTTAATTTCAATGATTATAATTTTGTTTTGATTCTGGGACTGTAGCTTGAGTGAATTGGAGATGCATTAACAGTTTGCATTACTGTTGTAACATGTCCACTTTCCAAAGGTATTAGAAGAATGGTCAGATTAAATGTTTGTTCTTAATATTTAGGAAGGCAGTGGAAGAACTATTGATAGAAGCCAAGCGTGGGAAAACTAGAGCAGAAACAATGGGGCCCATGGGCTGGTAAGTTCTTCAAAGATAGTAATTTTATAAAATATTAATATATTTTTTAAAAAAACTAAACATTGCAATCTCATACATTAATAAATAAGTCTTACTAGGCATAGAGTAAGAATGCTTAGGATTGTCATATAAATCTTTCACAAATGGATTAAAATATAGTATTTTTTGTTTGGGTTATCATAAGCATACATATAACTAAGAATAAGAATTAATTTCTTTTATATGTAGTGTTATAACCTCTATTCACCTCTATTAGTGTTATAACAGTTTCTGACTTGTTTGGAAATGATGTTTTTCATTGTCCATCATATTCAATACCTAGCTGTATTTGTCTTAAACATTTGGACACATTTTCTGGCAAAATATTTCTCTAGAATATTTCTATATTTCTGAAGTGAAAACAGAGACATGTATGAATGTCCACCATGAGTGCTATATAGGAAGAAAGACAAGGGAATGTATCCAGATAATCCCATTCTACCTATTTCAAAAGAGGCCTCACTTTGCTGCCTACCAGAAGCACTTATGTTTTGTAATGGGAGTAGATGATACTGGTGTTCTGGAGACTCCAACAAAGCTGCTATTCCTGGACGGGTTTATGGCTTGTGATTGCATTGCAAATGTAGAAACGATTCTATTAAGACTTTCTCAGCTACTCATGTTCCTCTTCTTCAGTGTAAGTAATAAGCAGGGGAAGAATAGGGCAGCAGAGCCTCATAACCAGTGAAAATTCCTTGTGGCAACAGTGGGATTGGTGAGCTGTAAAAACAGGTTTTACAGGTTGTCTTAATTTTATCAGATCAAAATACTTGGCAATTAATCTTACATTCCAAAGCCTTTGAAAAGCCTATTGTTGGAGTCCCAAGTTGCAGCATTTCAGGATATGATTATTGTTTTACTCCTTGAAAATAAATCACATGAAATTGTCATATTTAGTCAAATCACTGGTCCCTATGGCCTTGTCAACTAATAACAAATGGCTCGCAAAGTAATTTTTTAAGAGAGGGTCTTCTCTCTGAACTCAGATAGCAGGAGTACAAGGAAGAAGAGTCTCAGTAAAAAAAAAGCCAGCAAGTCTTATTTTTCCCATCTACTGCTAGGTTGTCCCCCCCCCCCCCTTTGGCACTGTGGGAAAATAGAAGATATATTTGAAAATAGTAATTTAGTCTGATAATAGCCTTTGTTGTTAAAACTAGTTTGGGATTTTTAATAGTTGTGACATATTTGTCACTTATTTCCAAAAGAATATCACTTTGCAATTATTTTAATTTCATTTTTAGTAACAGTAATTTAGTAAATAATGTCTAAGAATGAAAATAATATACCAAATATTAGAAAAGAAGTGGTTTCTAAGAATGTTTTGGGTTGTGTGCTTATTCAGGAATCAAAGCTGAAGCATGTCAGCTTTAAATCCCCTGTTTGCGTATATCAGAGGAAAAACTGTTAATCTGCCACAGTAAAGCAAGAAAGTTTATGTCATAACAAATTTATTGTAGCAAATGCTTTTATCTACTAGAGTTTATTTTGTCACATGAATGACTATAATTACATTTGTACAGATGCACAAATGTCACTAGATTTTCTATGTTCTTTTAATGGAGAAATTAAGTCTTTAATATTTCCTTGCAATCCTGTAATAAAATGCACACGTCTTGACTGTTTCTTTCTGTACTTCAAGTCTACACTAGGTGGCATACAAGGAAAGCCAAAAGAAAATTAGTTGTAGTACTCATTTTGTATATTCATAATGTTTATTTTTTGTGTATTTTGGATATTATATTACTGCTTTTTGATACTTTTGCAGGATGAAGTGCCCCCTTGCCAGTACAAATAAAAGATTTCTTATTAATACTATCAAGAATACATTGCACTCACCAAAAGAGCAAGACCAGGGACAGAAACATCAAGAAGAAAATAAAGAATCTGAGCCAAGTCAGAGCAGGGAAGAAACCAAACCAAAGAGACACAGAGTACATCCGTACAAACCTAGTTTTCGGTCTAGGAGAAGAGTCAGCTGCTCTCCTCCCAGGCACAGGCACAAGCACAGGAACCAGAACACAAAGGACAAGTATGAAAAGCGATCCAACAAATAATGAAAAACTATGTGTCATTTGAAGAATATAATTAAGCTATTAACTGTGGGGGAATGTTCATTTATCTTTGACTTGAAAGTATTGCTCAGTACAAATGTCTGTTGTAACAATTTAGAGTTGAATCTTGCAACTTTCTTTGAGTTCTCATGTACCTAAAAAATTGACTCTGTGCTTCCTTTCTGTTACTACACCTCCTCCAAATTAAATTTTGATGGTTGTAAGATTTTTGTGCTTAAATCTTTTGGAAATTATCTTTTAGATCACTTGTGGGCAGCCTCTTTCAGCTGTCTGTTTTTCTTTACTGCCTAGAGAAAATATTTCTCTGTTTGATGTTGATCAGAATCATTGAGAAGGAACTTCCCCAGTGATTCCAGTGCAGTAAGGAATGATGTTTTCCTGCTACATAGTAAAATGTGTAAATATATATAGTGTATACGATACTTTGTAACTCTGTTCAGTAAAGCTCTTAATACAATTTTACTTTAATTTTTTTTGTTCCTTAGATACGGATCTTGTTCATTCTTTAGGCCTTCACTTTATTCAATTTGAATATATTTGCTATAGTTTTAATATGAAAAAAGACACATGGTATTTGAATATTATAGATTATTTAGCTTGAGCTAATTAAATATAAGAGCTTCAGTGCAGACATGGAACTCTGTGTGAAAAATAGCTGTCTGTTCAATTCATATTAGGATGTGTGCTTAAGACATATTTATTTTACTTTTCCCAACACTGAAGTGAACAGAGTTCTCTTTTGACCCATCAGAAATCCATATGACTTCTGAATTCACACTTCTTTCCTGATCTCAAAATTTTAGTGTTTTGAATTCATCTACTTAAAATAATGTGTATTTCATTGCTAATAAATGCAACAGCATTTTTCTGTATTGAGAGACAATGAAAACTATATCTCAGGAGTTTTACTTTTTAAAATGCTGAATATGTAAATTGCAGAAGTATACTGAACATTGGCACTTAAATTCCAATTTAAGTGCGAGTCAGATTCTTGGTGATTTTCTTATTGTATAATTCATACTTGTCTTTATTATATTTCAAGTATTTTTCCTGAAAATAGGTGTGAAATTAAATAGTGACTGGTTAGTAATACACATTCTTGAAATAAAAGTGAAAATATCTTCGGCTATCCGCAAGTACCATTCTGGCTTCAACATACATTCAATTGTGTCTGTCCATCTAAAATTCACATCCAGTCAACATAGTAGTACAAATCCACCTTCAGCTTTATTGATATTGATCAGCTTGAATAGTAAATAACTGATAAACTGAGGATCGAATTCTTAACTAGAGAAGAAGAATGGATGGTTGAAAAAAGCTGATTGAGATATAAAAGACAGGCTTGATGAAGTGAAAAGATAATTACAAATTGCTGACATTTGCCAGACCTTTTAAGCTGCAATTCAAAATGGCTAAGAACAATAAGAGAGGAAGGCTATGCTTCTGGTGGAAACTGATAAAATAAGAATAGAAAAAGTATGTAGGAGAAACCAGTCATTATAAAATAATTGGCAGTTAGGTTTGATCAGATGCTGGCAGGTTACAGAAGGAAGATTAAAGCAATCCTAAATGAAAATGCTAAAACCAGTACAAATAGCATGCTAAACCACAAAGCTGGCTAGTACCATGTTGCAGACTTGGTACTGCCTACTAGTAAATGCACCTAACTAGCCAAGTAACTATTCTATGGGCCAGCAAAATATGAAATCTGAATACAAGACTTTGGCTTTATCTGATTGGTGGAGACCAGAGACCCATTTAAGGCATTAATGACCTTAAAACATTATTGTGTTTCTATTTCTGGTTTCATTGAGGCAATGTCAGGCTAAGCTGCACTAAGTTTGTTCAACTGATTTCTTGGCTGCACCCTTCTGTGTGTGCATTTATCACTATGCCAGTCTTAGAATATTTAGCATAATGTGCAAACGCAGTGGAATAATAGTGTCACACATGTTTATTCGGAAGACTGTCCAGTTCATTCGGACTTATCTAGATAATGATGGGGGACTTTAGCTAGCAGAAACATTGAAAGGAAAGTGACCACGTAATAGAGTTCTTGATTTTAAGAGAAATCAAAAGAGTGTAGCCAAAAATGTCTTGGATTTCAAGAATGCACAAAGGCTAAAACTCAGAATGACCCAAGGTTGGCAAAGAATGCTAGAAATTACAGAAAGACCTTCGGGTATCTTCAAGATAAAAAAAATAAATAACTGGTCAGTGAACATGGCAAAAGCTAAAAAGTAACAACTATGCAACTCCTATTTTGGTTCAGACTTACCTGATGACGGTAGTCACAGGTAAGTAGATAGTTGTTAAAAGCGGGAGAAAGGGAAGGATTGAAGTTTAGGAAAATGGTCAAGGATTATCTTGTTTACTTTGAACAGGTTTGAATCTCCAGGACCAGGTATTGCATCCTGGGGGTCTGGCTGAATCTTTGTTTTGTCTTTGGGAAATCCCAGGAAACCAGTCAAATGCCAGACAACTGGAAGACTGTTGGATAAGGTACTTTGGACATACAGAACTATACAGCGCTAGCTGAACCTGAAAGAAATAGCATATAACCTCTCTGCAGGCTTCCCCAGAAAATAACCTTTTCTAGTGATCATGATGGATATTGAGCTTAATGAACTATATAACGAATGCACACGATAGAATACTGAGCAAGTGGACGGGTCCTTGTCACTGTGATGTGCCTCTGTATATAGAGTCGATGGAAATATGACTCCATGGTGGGAAGCATGATGCTGCTTTGTATGGCTGATACGATTATTTTATTTCTGTTTTATTGCTTTTGTTGTGAGTCACCTAGGATTATTACATATACGACAGGTGGACATACAAGTTTTATAAATAAATAAACACACAAGTGAATGGAAATACAACAGCAGGCTGGGATGGACTGAAACAATGTGCCAAAGACCAGGAGAAAACCAAAGTATGACTGATAAATAAAATTACCAAGAGTCAGCCAGGACATACACTTCCATGAGCAAGAACTGCCTGACTACTGGCAGACCCCTCCCTCAGTTGTCTTCTATACTGAAACAATATTCCACAGCAAGATAAATGAAAGCAATCTGGTCAGCGCTGAACACTTAGGTTATAAAATAAGAGACAAAAAGTATTGTCTGTGTGTGGAGTGTAAAAGGGGGCTGTTCTATAGCTTGCTTGTTCTATTTGCTGCTTGTGGCCTGCTATTTCTCTTGCTATATTTTCTACACTGGAAATACGCTTTCTGGAATCAAATGGCTACAAGACAATGTTTGGTAACTCTCTGATTACTAATTTAAATAACCTCCTTGCTTACATTAGTTAGGAAAACCGTGCTGATCTAAATGGTTGCACTGAAACTGAGAAATTAATTAATTTATTTATATGACTTACACAGCTGCCCATCTTATGTCCCACAACTCTGGGTGGCTGACAAAAACAACAGTAAAACCATCCTAAAAAAAGAAACAAAAACCACCAAATTCCAGCACCCTGGTACATCAACAACTACAATCACTGGGCTCCAGTATCAACCTATCCCAATGCTTGGGAGAAGAGCCAGCTTTTCAAGGCAGTGTTTCTCAACCGTGGCAACTTTAAGAAATGTAGACTTCAAACCCCAGAATTCCCCCCCCCGCAAGGCCGGCGGGGGGGTTTT